TATATATTGATTTTGATGTTTTATTTTTTCAATGTTATGTAATTAAAAATATGTATGTATTGATGTAAATAATATTATATATAGTTTTATATATTGATTTTGATGATTTATTTTTTCAATGTTATGTAATTAAAAATATGCATGTATTGATGTAAATAAAATTATATATAGTTTTATATATTTGTGGATTCAATTTTCCTTTATAAAATAATGAAAATGGAGGGAGTTAAAAAAAAGTAGGAAAATGAAAGGGTTAACAATTAATGTGTTGATTGTATATTAAAAATAAATCAAAATAATGAGAAAAAATATAAATAGAATAGAAGTGTTCTTATTGAATAACATTTTGGTTCTTCCTTTAATATATATATATAGATTATAAAGGTTTAATTTCTTCAAAAACTTCTTATCACCGGTTTGGCACCGGTGTAAGTTGTTTATCCAAACACTCAAAAATGTTTATTACCAATGTCACACTGGAATAAGTCAAGAAGTTGTTTTTATAAACAACCCCAAACACTCCCTCAATATCATGTAGTTACAAAATCATCAAAATTAGTGTTTTATTATGTTAATTATTTGATCAATCTTTTGTAAATTGACTTTGGTATTTCGTAAATATAAAAGTTTGTCAACACCATTTTTTGTCTGATGTAAGGGTCGTTTACCAAACGCTTACCAGGGTAAGACTTATATCAGCTTACATTACCTTATCGGATGAATATGGTAAGGACCAAAAATCTTATCCTGTAAGAGGGAGACAAGGACCGAGAGTCTTACCTGGTAAGTGAGGCCGACGACTCTTACCATGGTAAGCGCTTATTGGGTAAATTGTTGCAAACGATGCCGTTCTAGTGGACTAAAGGCTTACCCAGTAAGTAAGTGGTGGTGTTAAATTTTACCGGTAAGCGCTTACCGGACAAGTGTTTGGTAAACGACCCCGTAGACTTTTAAGCCACCGTCACTCATCGTGTATATATTTATTCTTTGTCCTACTTCTTTTAATATGGTGATTTGAAATGTTTTACGTTATAGGCGTTAGAAAAAGCATCCAAATGGTAGAAGCGGCAGCCAATCTGGCTATTCTATATGGAAGTGCAATGAGGAATAAAAATCCTCTTGTGGGCACGGAGGTTCAAATGCGGTGACTCTGGGCTATCTGCAAAGCAGGTGGTTGCCCTGTGATTAGTCGGCTCGCATAGCGGGTTGGATATCCAGGTTAATCAAAAAAAAAAAAACAAGTGTTAATAGGTAAGGAAAAATGTCTTTCATAATCATAGCCATAACATCACTTCTTTTTCTACTCGTTCTTACGCTCAACGTAAGATGGAACCTACTGTTTGTTTTATTATATAAAAACATATTTATATTGTGTTTTTTTGCTCACATATATTTGAATGCTGCATTCCGTCGCATTGTACAGGTACACAACTGGTTTCTTAAATATATAAGTTAATGATACTGCAAATATAAAGTAATAACGTACTCCATAAATTATATTTTTTTAATTACGAATCTCAAACGAATATTGGTTTTTTAGCTTAAGATTGTAATGGTCATTAGAAACGAAATATAACAACATAATTTCATAAATTTTATTATTATAAAAATGTATTTTTAAATTATTTTAATTAGGGTATTGTAATTTGAAAAATGTATTCGTTAACTTGCTAGCTTTTAAACTAGTTAATTCTTTTTATTTACATGACTTAAATGAAATGATATGAATGACACGTCATTCTAATTACAAATCTGATCAGTTCAAAAAAAAAATCACGCTTTCTTATGAAACTGTGTACAAATTATATATTATACAGTAATTTTTTAAAACATGTTATATTTTTTTAAGATAAAAATTTTGTCTGTAAAACAATGTAACACTTATTCTTTCCCTTGTTTTAAAAAGTATATATTTTTTTTGAAAATATTTATGATATGAACTGTGTTCTACATGTTTTCTTAATATTAGTATATTAATAAATAATTTATAAAAAATTCTTTAATTTAATATTTATACAATATTATAAAGCATTTGATAAAAACTCTTAAAATCCATTTTTTATGCATGAAGTACTGTTTATTGATGCATATTATTTAAAATTCAAGATTACAAGTAAATTGTGTGTAAGTATAACTTATTAAAGCTTCATGTTTGAATTGGTGTAACTAACTTCAGATAAACATAATTAAATAGAGGATAGACATTTTATTTTAAATATAAAAACACTAAAATATAATTAAGATAATCATTGAATTCTAACAAAATACTTAATTATTATCTTTATAAAAAATTATATTATTAAATCAAAAATAAAAAAATGAATTAAAAAAATACACAAAAAAGGAAAAAATTTAAATAGTTAGTCTAGTACTAATATCAATATTTTTAGTTTATTTTCTTATGATATATTCATATTTATATTTTATTCAAAAATAAAAATATTATCGTTTTCTCAAAACCATATAAAACCGTATTATAACATCGATTAAGACAAAAAAAACGAAAGACTAAAATCAAGATATATCTTGCTACATTGTAAGAGTACACTTCTAATATTTACTAAATAATATGGGAAGTAAAAAAAAATTATATGAAACATAACAAATTACAAATCTTATCATTTGATTCGTGTCATGTCAATTTGCATGTTTTGCCCTTTTTTCCATTACATGTTTAATTTTTAATCTATGAATTAATGATTTTTGATAAATATATTTTATATAATAATTAAAAAAAAATACAATGTTGTAATAAAAATTGGCGATGTTATAATGTAACATACACTTTCGCAAATACGTTGCAATTATCTCCTTTATACGTGTTTATGTG